TATCTTAAAGATTGAGTCGATTGTAATTTTTTTTTTCTTAAAATGGACCAAAGCGAAGAATTTATACAACCCCCTAACGATCTTGAAGAAAATGATAGTGTTAAAGACAAAGTGGCTGAGGAAACAAGAGAGTCTTCTGAACTTGGAACTGATGATTCCGAGGGCAAAGACGATAACAGTGGGGAGGAAACCACAACAGAAGAAGAATCGATTGAAGAAGAAGAACCAAAGTTAAAATATCAACGCCTTGATGCTGACGTTAGCGAGTTGTTGAAAAAGGACGCCGCGAGCACAATGTCAGTTTCAGATAGATTTATAGTATGTATTTCAAAATTACAAATAATTGTTAACAATAATTTTTATTCAGTTATTGCTAATTTTTCGCAAACAACTATTATAAAAAGGTTCTTGGAACGAACAATGGAGATATTTTAATACTCGATTTTGATGGAAATTTCAATAAACGATTATCTTCGCATACAGCAGCAGTAACTGATATTGCCATTGAAGTAACTGAAGAATTTGTCGCTAGTGCTTCTCAAGATGGTATTCACTTTTCCTTCTGAAATTTTTTTATAAATATATAGGTTTTAAATATATTTCTCCATTTATAGGCAGAGTCATTATTCACGGTTTATTCAATGATACAAAGCAAGTCTTTAATTATCGTCGACCTCTTAAATGTATTTCTCTTGATCCTGATTTTCATAAAAAGGATACTCAACGATTTGTTTGTGGTGGTATGTCAGGTGTATTATACTTGAACGAAAAAGGTATATAAATTCATATCCCTCGAGTTTCTATATATGCGTTTTCTTTTTAATTTTAATGGATAGCGCACGATGATTCATCTAGCGCTTGTGACTCCTGTAGGATGGTTTGGTCAGAGACAAGATACAAAACTTCAACATTCCGGAGAAGGTGCAATTAGTGCTGTAAGATGGAAAGGATCGCTAATTGCATATGCTAACGACGAGGTATATATTGATCAAACATCTCAATCTATTAATAGCTTTTTTTATGACTTTTTTTCCAATAAATTTTTTTTGACAACATTATAGGGTGTAAAAATTTACAATATACAATCACAACAAAGGATTACATATATTAAACGTCCTCCAAATAGTCCTCGAGCTGATTTGTATCGTTGCAACCTTACATGGCGTAATGAAACTACGTTGTTGATTGGTTGGGCAAACTTTATTCAGACTGCCTTTGTCAAGGTAAATATAAGTAAAATATTGAGCTTGTAGAAAAATCTTAATATATAATTTTTTTTTGTTCACTTATTAGGAATATGCTAAAAACGAAATTCAACCAGGTCGTCCGACTCAATATGTAGAGGTTTCTATGTAAGGGTTATTTTAAATTTACATTGAAAAATTTTTTTATATATATAATTTCATAATTAGAGACTTTAAACCTTTTTTTTTTTTTTGGTCTATTTTTCTGAATAAAATACAGGTTCCAGACTGAATTTATTGTTTGCGGCATAGCACCATTTAATAACACGATTCTTGTCTTGGCATATCTTACTGAAATCATTCAAGATATTGAGATCAATGATTCATCTCAATATAGAAGATCAGTGTGTATTATTGTTTAATATTTCGTGTGTACATATATATACCAATCAAGTCGTTTATTTATGTATATTTAATGAATTCATAGCGCGCAAAACGTCCAGAGTTACGCATTATAGATTCTTATAATGAAGAAATTTCGACTGATGCATTATCACTTCACAGCTTTCAAAATTATCAGGCGAACGATTATTCGCTTGATTACTTTCAATCGGAAGACATGTTTTATGTTGTCAGTCCTAAAGACCTAGTTCTTGCTAAACCTAGAGATTTAGACGATCATATAGGCTGGTTATTAGATCGTTCAAGATATGAAGAGGCATTGTTGTCACTACAAGAGGCTCAAGCTTGGGGTGGAAGTAAGGTCTATGATTTAACAGACCTTGGTGAGAGGTATTTAGCTTATTTAATCGGAGAAGGTATGTAATACAATTAAATAAATTATTTTTTACTTTCAAACTAATTTACCTATATATCGATTATTTGATAGAGGAATATGCAAAGGCTGCGGAGAATTGTAACAAGATTCTCAAGAACAACGCTAATCTATGGGAAAAATGGGTCTTTACGTTTGCAAATTTGAAGCATTTGCATGTAAGTATTTAAATGATATGATTATTGGTTTCGATGTTGTCATTTTATTTAAATTATTTCGCATATTATTCAGGAAATTAGTCCCTATATACCGAATACAAACCCAAAACTTAGTAGTACAGTTTACGAAATGGTTCTGGCTCACTTCTTAAACTATGATCATAAGGTAGCCTTGATAATGATTATAATTTTATTTTCGAATATAATATTTAATCTATTTATTTATTTATATTACAGGCTTTGTTAAAGACAATAATGAGTTGGCCATCGGATATTTATGATATACAAAGTGTTATCGTTCTTGTTGAAGATATCTTTGAAAAAGAACAGAACAATAAACTATTAATGGAATGCTTGGCCGAATTGTACGTTATAGTGGTTCTTAAAAATCGAATGTGAAATAATTTTAAAATTATAAGTGAAATTCACAAGTGCTAATGATTGATTGTCTTTATTTCATTCCAGATACGCTTATAATCACCAACCAGATAAAGCTCTTGAATATAATCTTCGATTACTTAGACCTAACGTCTTTGACCTAATACGAGAATATAATTTATTTTCAGCAGTCCAAGATAAAGTTTTACTGCTCATGGAATTCGATGAACATTTGTTCGTAGAGGCTATGAAAGTACAAGATGAAGAGATCGCAAAATTAAATCAGGATCCAAGTAAGAAATCTGTCAGGATTAAACAAAAGAAACGTACTGATATGCCAGCGGTGCAATTGTTAATAGAAAATACTGATGATGTTAAGGTAAGAATTCAAAATAACATTTATTTTAATATCGATATATTATTCACTTTATCGCCGATTAAGCTAGATCTCTCACGTCGTACGTCAACTGGAGAAAAAACGCGACTTTATGCACGTATATTTGGATGCTCTCTTTATAAAAGATCATCATGCGGGTTACGAATTTCATGACCTTCAAGTTGAATTGTATGCTGAATTTGATTATCCTAGATTAAAAGATTTTTTGAAATCTAGTAATTATTACACCTTGGAAAAAGTATGAAAAGCAATTTAATAATTATTTCTTAAATTATCTGATATTATTAAATTGAATACTAATTTTATAATATTTTATATTCAGGCATACAAAATATGTGAACAGAGAGACTTGGTTCCAGAAATGGTATTCATACTTGGTCGCATGGGCAATAATAAAGATGCACTTATGTTAATTATTGAAAGGTTACATGATGTTCAGCAAGTAAGTCGAGTCAATTAGTAAGATAGATATTTGAGGGTATTTATTAACTTATTTCTTAATTCAGGCAATTGATTTTGCTAAAGAGCAAGATGATGACATATTGTGGGAAGATTTATTAAAATATTCACTAGATAAACCGAGTAATGTCTTATTTAATTCACGCTTTTCCATCATGTATGCAATTCCATCTAAAATTCTTTTGCTTATGTAATTGTATACAGGATTCATAATTGGTTTATTGGAAAACCTTGGAGGCACTAATATCGATCCAATAGGGTTAATTAAGAGAATCCCAAATAAGCTGAAGATTCCCGGTCTTAAAGAAGCTTTAATTAAAGTTCTTCAAGATTTCAATTTGCAGGTTTGTTTTGATACATATTCAATCTTTTTATTTTCTTTCAATTATATCTTAACGATACCTTTTTGACGCATTAGGCATCCTTAAGAGAAGGATGTCAGAAAATATTAGTGAGCGATAGTGTATCCATGGCCGATCAACTAAATAAAGCGCAAAAACGTGGCATCAAATGCGAAGGTTTATATATATCAATACCTAATAATCAATGTATAATACTTTTGAGTATATTATTTATTTATCTCTCTAACATTTTATAGATGATTTGACTTGTTCTATTTGTTCTATCCCTATAATTAAAGAAGGTGAATATTCAATAATATTATTATTTTATATTTTCAAATTGATCACTAAGAAAATAATAATTCTTTCTATCATAAATAATATACAGCTATCTCCTCCGATTCAGTTTCAACTACAGTTGTATTCTTTTGCAGTCATGTTTTTCATGAAGCATGCCTTTTAAGTAACGAGAATTTACCTAATCCACCCGAAAGCAATAATAGAATGTTAGTTGGATCAAAAGTTCGGCACAACATTGTACTTAAATCTCTGAGTAACCCACCGAAATGCCCAATTTGTAACGATGCAGAGCATACTCATGGAGAAAAACAAAAGGAAATGCCTGCGTCTTCTCGACAAACTCGTGGATTTGTTAGAGGGCATGTTCATCATGGATCAAGGGATGAAGATGGAATGCCACCAATGGTGCCGCTAAGGCTTTAAGAGAAAAAATTTCAAACTTTTTTTTAAAGGATTAAGGAAATTTGGATCATAAATTGACGGTTTACAAATTCATTTGAAAAAATTAGGCTTTACCAGTTATCCTAATCTTCAAATTCCATTCAATTTGATGCAGATTAAGAAAGTTTGGTTTTTTTGATCATGTTTTCTAAAACACTATATAGTATAAATAGATGTTATTTTTCTAAAACACTAAATTGTATAAGATATTTAAACAAATTAAATAAGGTTATTTATTATTTTTTTGAATAAATTTAATTGTAATTATATTATTAACCACAATCTCTAATTATTAAAATAAGATAAAAAATTTCGTGAATATACAAATTTTTTTTTCTCCTACGTAAATCAATCCATTTTTAATATTATTGTTCATGCCTTTCAATTGATACTACAACTTGTTTGATTCATTGTTGTGGGAGTTTTTTTTTAATATATAAATATACTAACGTAATTAATATATAATAATTTTTTCTCTTCTGATAAATACTCATCTTGATCTTTGTGCTAATTATTATCAGGAGCTATTTCATCTTCTATTATCCCAGGTTGATTTTCTATAGTGTTAGGATCGTCACGATTAAACTCATTATCAGCAAAAACAATATTGTTTTCCTCCTGTTGTGCAACTGGGTTCTCTTGAATTCTATCAAATAATCTTACACTTAAAAAAGGAGAAAAAATTTTAGAAATTAATAATTACTTAAAATGTAAAAGATAAAATGAAATAAAATAAATAAATAAAAATTACATGATTTGTGGAGTTTTTAACCAACGTCTACCACCACTATTTCTTTCCAATGGCCAAACATCTTCAAAGAAATAATAAATATGACCAACAGCAATGCCCATCATATCACTCATTGGAAAATGATTATTTAATAACAAGGAAAATCCAAGTAACACCCATGGTAAAAATGGTGCACTGAATACAAATAGTCCAACAAAATTTAACCTTATAAATGGATTTCTTCGTGACCATATATATACTAATGTAAATGCAAGTGAATACCCAAGAAATGGAACATTGGATAATGGTGATAAAAGCTTTACATGAGAAGAAGGGAAAAAAATTAAGCAAGATGTTAATTTAAAATAATAATTAAATCGATAAATAAATAAAGTTAAGATGCTTTACTAGAAGTGCTACTGCCGAAAAGAAAAATAGCCAAAAGTAATCAGCTGTACGATTACGAAATGATCCTTCTTCTAACATTCTACTATATCTTACTCTTATTTTCAATGAGAAATTAATCGTCAAGGATTAAAATATTACAAAAGATTTCAATTACTTTTTTTTTTTTAAAAAAAAAAAATTATAATTAAGGATACAAAAAGAACATGTGATATAAAAAATCAAGTGAAAATGGTCCATAATATAAGAAAGTCGTTATCAAACGCCAATACTAAACAATAATTAATTATTATTAAATCATGTCAACGAGTACAAAAAAGTGGTTTTAAAATTGAAGGAAAAAAAACCAATTTACCTGGCGATCATAGAATGTTTTATCAAAATTGAAATAAAGTTGAAATTGATTTACAAAACCTACTTGCTTGAACCAAAAAAAAAAAAAAAAAATAGTAAATTTATTTGTTAATTATTGTCCCAAGAGTTTAAAACATTTACATACCACGGCTAAACTCGTTAATACAGCAGCAGTCACGTATGTTCTTGTAACTATTGGGACGTCATAATACCATTCTTCGACAGGTATCGCCATTATATATACAATTCAATTTCCTATTATTACTAATTCTCTAAAATAAAAAATAAAAATAAAAAAATAGGATAGGACCGTTTGGTCAAACTTTCTTTGCGTTAAAAATCTCCAGCTTTATATCGCAACCAATTATTTGAGCGTCACACCAATAGTTTAGCGTTATCGTGGCAAATTCTTATTTGTCTCATTTTTAATATTTGTAGATCACGTGTAAAGAATTATTAATGAGAAAATTTAATTTATTTATTTTACAAATTCAGGAATAAAAAAATTATCGCTTAACAGAATTCACTTGTTGAAATAAGAAGGGTAATTCCACTCATTGATTAAAGTGTCAATATTTTCCGCTCCCCTTACGTTTTCGGTGTTTAACTCTGTTAGTAGAATTAGGAACATCAGGCATTAACAGATGTCGATATGCTTCAATAACCTAAATATATTTTCAATACATAATAAATTTAAAAAAAAAAGAAAAAATTTTGATTAAAAAAAACAATCATCAAATGAATTTATTTCTCACCAGATCTTTCATCCCATCTGCTGCCATTACAATAGGATTTCCTTCAACTTCTTCAAAAATAAATTGTTTTTTCATCATAGGAAATCGAACGCATTTCAATAGAGAAGGAAGTGCTGCAAGTCTATCGCCACTCCATGGCTTGGGAAATTTATTTGAGTCATCATTATCTGCTTCATTGTTTAATTTATAAAGATTCTCACTGTCAATGTCAATTAAATCTTCAAAATTTTCGGGAAGTTCTGATGGCATCGATGCTGATGCTGTTGAAGGGGATGGCGGTGGTGAATCGTTAACCTGAATGGTTGAAGAATTCTCCGACGGCGGTACATTTTGATCTAAGGAGGATGAATGATTCGCCCAACGAACTACTAATTCATAAATTTTCTCCTCAGAATTCACATTTGCTTCATCATTTTCAAGTGCAAGTTGCAAAATATTTGGATTAGCATGTAACGTAGATGAGTTATCCAAAAGATTATCAAAATACAATGCGACAAAATCACGACATGTTGATGATGTTTTAGAACAACAATATTTTTCTTTTACATCAATGTTGAGTATTGTATTAAGCAAAAAATATTAGAATTGGAATGGTATAATAAACATATATATTTACAATATCATAAGGTTAAATAATTTACCTGCAATGGCCCAAATTCCCCATACATTATCAACATTCAATTCTAAACGGAAGTAACGCAAACATTCCTCTCGCACATGGATAATCTCAAATCTATCAGCTAATTCCAATAAATTTTCTGAGTTACGTAAAGATACGATATTTACATGAAAAGTATATATAAATGTTAACAAAGAAATGAAAGCGGAATGATTTGCTTGACATAATTTAATTTCATCTTCAAAAGATTCTTTCATTCCGTTTGTTAACATTGCTTCAAATACCGGAGAACTACTTGCTAAAATTCCTTTATGCGCGTAGAATACTTTCTCGCGTGAATTATCATCAATTACTCGAAATGTAACGTCTGAAAAACGTGGAGAGTTTACTAGTTTATCAAATGGATTGTTGATTTTTGGTGGTGAATCTACAATAGAATCCTGAATCTCAAATTTTACACATAAGGATACTGTATCATTGCTAATAAATCTATTAAATAAAATAAATTAATGATATAAAAAAAAAATTTTTTTGTTATTGTTATTTAACAATAATCACCTGTCCATTTCATCTAAAGACGTAAGATTTTCTTCACCCCATGTGGAATGTTCTAATCATACCAAAGCATTAATTGTATGTGTATAAATTATATGATGAAAGTCTCAACTACGTACTTTAACATATACGTACTATCACAAAACCAAACAGGCAACTCCACTTTTAGTTCCAAAGAAACACGTTATAAAGATTTTTTTAAAAAAAGATAGATCGTTAGCTTCACTCTGATAACGAATTAAATGTAATTTTAATTCTTACATTAAACATACTTTTTCCGAAATCCATCCCTTTCGTTCTCAAGTTCTCCAACACAAAGATGATACTGACTTTTTTTCTAATTCCACGAAGACATCCCGGTGTTGTCTCTAAAATTCCTAAATATAATGACAAAGCCTTTACACACAACATCATTATAACGAATGATTAATTCAAATCAAAAGTTGATACTTCGATTATTGTTAAGACAAATAAATATACCTGTGGGTTTTTCTGTCGTCCCTTATAGAACTATTAATAGTTAAATTAATGAATGATAAATGTAAATGAAAAGATTAAAAAATGTACACATGATTACAAATGGAAAATACCTTAAAAACCCTTGATAATCAAATGTATTGTTAATTTTTTTTAATCATTTAATAACAACTTGAATTAAGATATGAAAAATAATAAATTAAATCGATACAAACCACTGTAAACCGTCGGCACTAAAAGGCGTACTGGTATGTTCCATATAAGGTTGTACTTCGCTCCAGTTTGTTATTTTCCACCTATATACATAGGTCAAAATTCCTCCACTACCTTGGATAAGTTCATTGTAATTGAGATGTGGAAAATGAGCCATTTCGGTTTCAACTACTATATATTAAAATGGCGCAAAATATGGCGAATTTCCTATATTTATTATGCATGTGGTCATATGATCCATCATTCCATCTAATTGATTAAAGTTAATCTCCCCAAATGTGGGCCCATGCGAATTTATGACATGTCCTAATTTGGAATGACGTTAACTGGGAAGTATGATCTACAGCTTCCACAAATCAAAAATTTATCCATTAATGAAAAAAGCATTATTTTTTTGCAACTCTAGATTTATCATGAACGCAGAGATTCGTTTTCAATAGCACGCGACAAAAAATAGATTGTTTTGGTTATTATCATGTCTTTTTATTAGTATAATGTAAATTGTTCAATTGAAAGGCAAATAGAAAAAAGAGAAAGAAACGGAAAAAAAAAAAATTTCAAGATGGGAATATTTTTTTTTCAATAAGGGGATGTATTAATTTAGAGAGGCTTCATCAATCGTACTGTCACTAATGCCACTAACATCATATAATATACTATTATCATTGTTCTCTTGAAAACCTAAAGAAGAACCCTGATGATTCACATCATTAAAAATGTACGAATTATCATTATTTTCATAATTGAGACTCATAATACATTCATTAACGCAATATGAATGCGAAGGCATTTGACAGGGAAAGTCAGATATATACGGGATTTCCAAAACTTGAAAATGAAAATGATCATTACTATGATAACTCGCGGAACCTTCATTAGCGTTTGAGACGAATGAAGGATTAAAATTAGAAGAAGTTGAATGAGAAATGGACTGATCAATATTATAAGATGAAATGGAAGGAACTTCTTGAGTAACATCATTATCATAAAATGAATGATCTGAAATTTGATTAGATTCAATGAGTACATCGCCAGTTGCTTCCTTACAATGGAGAGAATTAGGCAAAATTAGCATGGTTGGGAAAATTGAAGATTGCATCCATGGTCTATTCATCTCGCAAATATCGATTTTTATATTTTCTTTTTTCCGTTCTTTATCTTGTCTCACGTAATACTCACATATATCCAAATAAACAAGATATGCGACCTTTGACAACAAGTTAAAAAAATTCTTTTTCTCTTCCGACTCATTTTTCCATCTTTCTGAAGCAATATTGGAAATTTTTTCAAATGTCGCATTTGAATCATTTTCGATAATTGCTTGCTGAATATCTTTTCGGTAGAGAATGAACCCATTTGGAGAGCGTAATGAAAATTTATTTCTGCGTGAAGGTTTGGTATGAGAAGGAGTCAAAAGTTTTTCGAGAGAAAGATTGGTGGGAATGATGTCGTAGGTTCGTTGAAATTGTGAAAGATGTAAGGAGATGATCGACGAAATTGACTTTTGCGTTAAAGTTTGGTCGATTTCTTTCCGAACCTTTTTTTGCATTTTCTTTGGCATATTGATTTTGTTTAACTTTCAATAAAGAATTCAGTTTGCCAAAAAGTAAGAAAGAAAGTGAGAAAGAAAAAAAAAAGGTACAATTCCAAATGTAGAGTCATAAAATATCGTCAGAAAGGAAAATTTTTATTCCTTGACAAAGCTTGATTTGAAACCTACGGGAAAGGGAAATTTTATATATTTTTCACGGTTTTTTTTTACGTAATCAATGTTTTGTTGACTAAATATTATCTTCTAACAAGTTGGTCAAATTTAGTTATATATATCATTGATTAAATTAATTAAATTTGAAATCTTCGGAACATCCGCAATTTTTTTTTTTTTGTTTTTGAAATATATAATTTTAATAAGATAATGATAGATTTACATTATCTTTAATTAATAGAACTAAAACTTGTGATCTTTGTATTGTAACCAACAATAATTATCATACGCAAAATCAATAGTTTCAATTAATTTTAGAAATATTAAAGAAACCTAGATTATAAATCGGAGTGTTTCGTGAAATAAAGAAATATTATGATGTATGGGTTTACCCCAAACAAAGAACTGTAACACTACCACAACTAAGAAAAAAATCATCTCCACAAATTTGTCTTGCATTGAGATTAACACGGTTTTTTAACATGCATCAGATTCTAAAATTTTTGTCCTTCTTTACTTAATAAAGAAACAATGGTTGAAATATGAGGTGATATTACTATATTTGTAACTATTGTAATTATGAATGATGATCTACAGTGCATACAATTAATACAAATTAGGTTAAATAAATTACGCAGAAATTTACATCAACCTATATTCTTTATATTACTCTAACTTTTTTTCTTTCCTTTTGTATTAGGAGCCCAAACTTTTATTGTACAATCAGCAGAACAACTAGCCAATAACGGTTCAAATGGATGAAAATCAACTGCATACACAAAGTCCGTATGTCCTTCCAATCTCTGAATCAATTCACCGGTTCCCTATATTATGATAGACTTATTATGTATATGATTATTTAAAGAAAAACTTTCCATTCTAAATACCTCTGGTCCACCAACATTATACAGGTACGCATACGGATCTGCACTTCCTGTGGCCAATAACAAACTTGTTTCCAATGGCTTGTCCCTCTCATATCTATTTAAAAATGTTAATGAATTAAATTTACACAAACATTTAAGAAACAAGTAATAGGTACTTCTTACGTAACGTTGTCCGCGGGGTCTGTTTTAGGATCTCCAGCATCAAAAATATCATTATGCATTGACCTTTGTATTGTTGAATATTGATCTAAACTTCAAATAAGAAAATTAAATATGCTATATAATTATAAAGAAATGTCGATGAATTTATTAAAAGATTCTCACAATCTTTCCTGAGGAAATAGGAGGACCTTATAGGCCATCCTTTATTCTTGTAGCCTTTCAATACGTGAACGATTCTCAGTTGAGATTTCGGTGGCTCAATTCCACGATCATAAATTCTTATAACTTACAAGGATGAAACATATACGTTAGTATAACTTTCAGGGATGAAACATAATACATAAATAAAGGCCCTTAATATGATTAACTAACCATTGTCGTAACTATTAACTGCCATATATCTAGATTCCTCATCACCTGTAACCATGCGTTTTAAATTAGCGTGATTAAACAAATGCAATTAAATTTTTCTACAAATCCTTACCAAGACTCTTCTTTGAAACAGCAATATGTGAAATCGGCTTCCTTGTTGGTTCATTCAGAATAGATTCTAATGCGTCTCCTATTCGGGAAAAAAATTTTATATATATTTCTACAATCTGATAAAGGACAAAACTTTTACAAACCGGTTCTGATATCCCATGTTTTTAGGAATCCATTTGAATCTCCAGTAATAATATTTTGCCCATCTTGACAAACATAAAGTGAATTTATCATTCCATCATTTTTAAATTCAAGCGCTCTTTCAGGTTTACGAATATCTATTAATGTTAATATTTTTCTTGAAGTTCCACTTGCAAACAAATTATTATCTATATTATAGTTTTTTTTTTTAAAAAAAAAAAAAAATATTATGAATAATGAAATTTAAAATTTTTAAAAAAGAGTTTAATTAACTCTTATTATTATTATTAGAAAATACCTGTAGGATTGAACATGACACATTGGACAAATCCTTCACTTTCAAATGAATTATATTTGTTCGTTTCTACATCCCACAATTTACATGTTTGATCATAAGCTCCTGATAATAATGATGTTGAATCACGAGACCAGCAAACATCTGATATATTTAACGTATGTCCCTTTAAACATGCTTGCTTTTTTTAAGAAAAAGGCAAAAATTAAAATTAAAATTAAAAATAAAAATAAAATAAAATAAAATAAAAAAAAGTCCATGAATTTTATACCTCGTTTTGCAATGATATGGTATCCCATATTCGAACAGTTTTGTCAAATGATCCAGACGCAAGCATTTTTCCACATGGTGAAAAATGTATTGCGTGAACTGCTCCTCCATGTCCCTAATAACATTTATGTATATAAGATTCACGTCTATCAGGTTTAAATCAAAAACATTGGCTTCAAACCTTAAATTCAGATCTTAGATGAAAAGTTCTTCCTTCATGATGTTTTTCAATCGCATTATTACCTATATTATTACATGTTACGTATTAATATACATTAAGTATAGTAAAATCTCTTTAAGCAAATTTCAATCTCAGCATATACTCATTCGTTCATCAATATCTCCCATTATCAATTTTCTTCTACATTACCCACCAGAAGTAGAATTCTCTAAGCTAATCTCTTTACCACCACCATTATCCTGTGGAACAACACCGCAAGCTTCTAGGTCAATAATGAAAGGACTAACTCTTTGATGGGAAGAAGCAGAAAACTTTACAGATAAATCATATATGGATTTTTTTAATAACATATTTTCTTTTTCTAATGCATCAACTTTTTGTTTCAGTGCTTTGTTCTCTTTAATCAATTTATCAGTATGATCGGGATTGGATGAAAGGGCTGCGGTTAACTTCAATGGTTCCATGGCAATCTATTATCGTTATATAAAGGGTGTGTATAAAATATCTTTGAATTTACTCATACGACTTTTACAATAATCATTAATTTAATTAAAAATTCATTAAATTGATGTCTAATAAAATAATCTAAACCATAAAATATTTGATTTTTCTTAAATAAAAATGCCCTGTCCATTAAGAAATTTTTTTTTTTGAAATTTTTTAGGAAAGAAAAATTATTTTCGAGATTGTCATATTCTAGTGTGATACAAAATTATCAGATTCGTCACATGTAGGGATGTTAACAGTTCGATCACCAACTACCAAATATCGAAAAACAAAAATTAAATCTAAATCTATAAATCTATAAAATATATGGGACAATAGAAAGGGGGGAAACTGCCGGAAAAATAAAAAATGAGTTAATGCTAAATTTGAACATATTTCAGCTTGAAAATCATATTTGGTATATATATATTTTTCCTGGCAGTTTCCCCATTTATATTGCAAAGGCTCTGAATTTAACCTGTTTCTGATGGAACTGGAATTGTCATCTAACCGAAACCGGTTCTATGATCTGAACCGTCCAATCACAGACCTTATCATCCCTAGTCACATGTGATTATACATGCACGATCTCGTTTTTTTTAAAAAAAAAAATAAAAATGAATTCCAAGAGAATAGGAGTTTTAGGAGGAGGACAACTGGGTCGTATGCTAGTAGAAGCAGCGTCTCGTCTAAATATATCTATAACAATCCTTGATAGTCCAGTTGACTCTCCAGCAAAACAAATTCAAGCAACGTCAAGACATATCCATGGTGATTTCAAAGATCCCATAAAAATTCAAGAACTTGCACAAAATGTAGATATTTTAACGATAGAGATCGAACACGTCAACATTGAAACTTTAGAAACTTTATTTTCCGAAAACAAGATTGAAATACATCCGCATCCTTTTACAATTCGTACAATTCAAGATAAATTTTTACAAAAGACACACTTATCACAAAATTATATACCCGTTGTAGATTTTATTGATATTTCTGATAGGGAATCTATAAATATCGCTGTAAAGAAATTTGGATATCCTTTAATGTTAAAATCTAAAACTTTAGCTTATGATGGTCGAGGAAATTATGTAATAAAATCTGAAGATGACATTACCAAAGCTTTAGAAACTTTAGGAAATTTTAAAAATCCATTATATGCCGAAAGATGGTCACCGTTCGTTAAAGAATTGGCTGTTATGGTAGTTAGAAATGTTGATGGTGTAATGGAGAGTTATCCTGTAGTAGAAACAGTTCACAAGGAAAATATTTGTCATTTAGTTATTGTTCCAGCTCAACATGATAATATTATTTTAGGACGCGCAAAAGAAATTGCAGAAAAAGCAGTTCTAACTTTTAAGGGATGCGGAGTATTTGGAGTAGAAATGTTTTTGATGAATGATGGTAAGTGAAAGAAAAAATACAAAAAAAAAAAAAAAAAAAATTTCTTTTTACAAGGAATTTAACTTTATTTTCATGATTGTAAAGGACAAATTTATGTTAATGAAATTGCACCACGGCCACATAATTCTGGACATTATACAATTGAGGCATGTCAAACTTCACAATATGAAAATCATATTCGAAGTATACTAAATATGCCACTAGGAAGCACTTCTCTTAAAGTTCCAGTGGCAGCAATGATTAATGTCCTTGGAAAGTCAGATAATTTACAAGAAACTCTAAGCCCTTGCGTAGAAGCTTTGACAACGCCAGGGGCGACGATCCATTTATATGGAAAGAGAGAATGTAGAAAAGGAAGGAAGATGGGACACATAACGATAGTTGCAGATTCAATTTCACAATTATACAAAAGGATTAACCCAATTCTTAAAATGATTGATGAAAGTGATAGTTCGATAACAACAACAAGGAGTAATATTCAACCTTTGGTTGGAATCATCATGGGAAGTGATTCGGATTTACCTACAATGAAGCTTTGTGCCGAAATATTGAAATCATTTGATGTACCATTTGAATTATCCATTGTGTCAGCTCATAGAACTCCAATGAGAATGGTACAATATGCAAAAACTGCTCACGTTAGAGGATTAAAAGTTATAATTGCTGGTGCAGGAGGTGCTGCCCATTTACCTGGCATGGTAGCCGCCTTGACCCCTTTACCCGTTATCGGTGTGCCTGTTAAAGGTAAAACTTTGGATGGTGTTGATTCTCTTTATAGTATTGTTCAAATGCCTGTAAGTTGAAGAATAAATTTTTTATTTTTTTTTATTTTCTTGTATTGACGATAAATCTGTTTGATTATAGCGCGGAGTTCCTGTTGCAACAGTAGCCATCAATAATTCAACAAATGCTGGATTATTGGCAGTTCGTCAATTAGGTGCTTTTATACCTAATTATTTACAAAAAATGCAAGAATTTATGGAAAGACAAGAGAATGAAGTTTTAACTAAAGTTGAAAAATTGGATAAAGTTGGCTGGGAAGATTATTAAGATATTCGAAATTGTATTTAAATTATAATTTATACTTCTAAAAAAAGTTTTCAATAAATTATTTTTACAAAAAAAAGGTTTCCTATTTTAAAAAAACATATTCACGTTTTTAATTGAACCTACTTTATAAGACAAGGAAGGTGTAAGAACTTGATCTTTTACATTTGGTACACTTAACTTTATATCTATGAGGAATAAATATAAGGATTTAGATTATTTTTTTATTTTTTTATGTTTTTTTATTTTTATTATGTGACAATTTACCAAAAAACTCACCATAAAATGGTTTATTAAAGGACTCGACTTTACCAATAACCTTAATAAATTCCTTTGCATCTTCCAAATTAGAATTTGATATAAATCCAATCTCATCTGGATTCCAAGAAAATCTCAATTCGCTCAATAATTGATTACATTTCTTTGTATATTGAACTAATAGTTGTAAATAATGTCTATTTAGCATATATCCTTGAAATAATGAAATTATTCTTAATTGTGCTTTACATTCCTTTAAGAACTTATTGAACATATTGCTTTCAATTTTAAAATCAATTCCTAAATGAATTACAGAATCAGGAATGGATTTAGCAATTCTACTCCAATAATCTTGTGTAAAAATGTCAGAATCCGAATTCAAATTATCGATTTTTAAAAAAAAATGCTCAAGAGGTAAAGGAGGAAGCAAAAGTGAAAGTAAATCAGGGATAGAATCCAAATGTTGAGAAAAAGACACAGACAAATGTGTAATATTAGGACAGAAATTTACAAGTGTTAAAATAATATCCGACGTTATATGAGTTAAAGTCAATGTTTTTAAATTCTTATTTGACATTTTGAAAATTTGAATGAAATAATTTGATAAATGTGGAGCATCATTAATATCCCACGTATAGAAGTTCCGTATGCTTAATGTTTTCCCCTCAAATTCTTTTTCCGAAAAAGAAAAGCTGGAATAATCATATTTAAATAAACCTAAAATTTCCAAAGTAACAAAATTATTACACTCATTTAATCCTTTTATCAATTCTTTAAAATTACAAGATTCACAAAATCTAACATGCTTTAAACTATTTTGTTGACTTTTACAAATCCTTTCATAAATCATCTCACTCTCCTCTCGCATCCAAAATTCATGAATTCCAAGCACTTCCATCTTCCTTTGTGCTTCTATAAATTCCATTAACGCCTTTCCAATCTTTGGAATTCGACCTCCTTCATATTTAATGTTCACTTCTAACCATTTTAAACCCTTTACATATTCTTTCATCTTTTCAAACATTCTCACGATCCTATCAATAAGTAAACCCTCATCAAGTCGTCGTTCAATTTTATAATGAAATTCGAATTTCTCCAACTGTGATAAAGCATTATCTTCAACCACTCCGTTAATATTTATTATACTTTTACTAATCAAATGATTGGAAGTGATTATGTCTTGGTAAGGATCATTTTCAATAATTAAATGTTGTAATTTGTGATCGTTAGATCTCTTGAACAACATACCATAAATGATTTCACTCGCTAAATTGACCGAAGAAAAATTGGTAGGTATTTCATTATATATTTTATTTAATTCCATAATTAATGAAACATCATCGCTCCTATGATTTTGTATATAACATATCCAATGTAAAATTGATAATCGAAAATGTTTTAAATCAAAAATTCGAATATAGTCCGGATAATTATATATTTTGGAGTTGCTAAAATTTAATTCATAATCTGATAAATCAATATTGTTACGAATTAATTCGGATTTTTCTTGTACGGAAAGAAATGAAAGTAAAGTTCGAATTAAAAGAATGGAGCTTTTTACTTTCAAAGACATATTAAAAGGACAATGCCACAGGAAACTCAAAGAAATATGACACCAAGTTTGGTTAATTCGAAGGAATTTGTTGAGGGATGAACGACTAAATTTAAAGTTTTGTAAGATTTGATAAATAATATCCGGAGATAAACGCGGAATTTTTAAGGCGGATGAATCGGCTGTTGTAGGATCATTAGGTGAATTATTTGGTGTCTCGAAATTCCAAGACGACGACGACGGTAAAGTTACCGATTGTTCGTCTGAATCGGTCTAACAAAATTTCACGCAGTAAACGCAGTATGTATTAAGAAAGGGTATCGTAATTAAACGTGGAATTTTTATTTTATTTCATTTCATTTTTTTTTTTTTATTTTTTTATATTTTTTTTTTTAAAAATAAAAAAAAACCCCTTACCAGTAAAAGATTTACAATATCCATTATAGAAATTTTTTTTTTTGTAAATTAGGGCTTTTTATTTATTTGGACTTTCCTCTCCTACAAAAAAATTGGTGAAACATTGTACACGATATTCAGTCGTGATATTTAATCTTTCATTGGCTGTTTAACTTAAATCTTAAAAGTTCATTTCCAGTTAGTTATGAAGTATTTGGATCTTCCTGTGAATTATATTTCTTTAAATTTATTTTGATTAAATAAATTTACTATGGGGAATAACATTTCAAGTACAACTGCTTCGATAGCGACGGCGGGAATTGATAGTTACGTTAGTGAACTAGTAGATATTCAATATGAAAGAAGGTACTCAAGCAAGCAATTCGTATTCGTTCGTTTATAAATATAATTGAAATGACATTATTGATATTTTTCTTTTACAGCTTAAGTAGTGCACGTTTTATGAAAACTATTCGTGGTCGTCATAAAGAGGGTGCCGTTGTTGTAAAAATATTTATTAAACCAGAACCTGGGTTGTCCTTATCAAATATTGCAAAAGCACTTCAAGGTATGTTTCAAAATTTATAAACTATCGTTTGGCTTGCATAAAATTTATTTTGAAATTATTTTTTTTTTTTAGAGGAGAAAGATGCCTTATCAGAAGTTCCAAATGCTTTTGCATATCAACGAATATTAGAAACAGAAAAGGCTGGATATCTAATAAGACAATTTTTCTTTAGTAGTTTATATGACCGAATAAGGTTTAGCAAAATTTTTTTTTAATAAAATGAATTATTATTATTTCTTTTAATAACATTTTATTTTATTTGTTTTTTTTAGCACACGTCCATTTTTGAATTTAATAGAAAAAAAATGGATAACATATCAAATATTATGTGGAGTACATGATGCTCACACTAGAGGGGTAATTTGTATTTTCGAATAAGAAATGAACAACTTTATTGAACTTTTGTTCTGATCTGTTTTGATTTTTATAAGATTTATCATGGAGATATTAAGACGGAGAATGTTCTTGTGACTTCATGGAATTGGGTATATTTGGCAGATTTTGCTGGATATAAACCTACATATCTTCCAGAGGCATTTATTTTATTTGTTTATCTATTTATTTGATTAATTTGTGAACATACACATATATAGATTTACTGATATTATGTTTGATGGTGATAGGATAATCCTGCAGATTTTTCGTTTTTTTTCGATACTTCATCAAGAAGAACATGTTATCTTGCTCCGGAAAGATTTTATAAACCTGGGAGTGAAATTGATAGGAGAAAGGTTGTGAATTTAGTGTAATATTGATGTCATATCATTAAAATAATAATAATAATAATAATAATAATACAATAATAATAATCTAACATATAACTAATTTGTAATTATGATCAGAATGATTTGGAATTTGGAGAGAAAGATGGAGCAATAACACCTGCAATGGACATTTTTTCTTTAGGGTGTGATACATTATTTTACATGATATTTATAATGAGCAATCATTTATTAAATCTATGATGTATAATTGGTGGATTTTGTAATTCTTTCTATTCCAGTTGTGTAATTGCAGAACTTTTTTTAGAGGGAGCACCGATATTTTCCCTTTCACAGCTGTTTAAATACAGATCTGGCGAGTATGATCCTGAATTATATTTAAAAAAGATCGAGGACGAAGATATAAAGGTACGTCCTTATTCTAAACTTTGTTTAAAATCAAAACGAAGAGTAAACGTTTATTAAGTTGAATCGTTATCATGACTTATATCTAGGCCATGGTAAAACATATGATTAATATAGATCCATCTCAAAGATATACAGCAGAACAATATCTTCAAGAATGGTATTGATTTATGATTGTAAATTGAATTATGTAATATTCCTTTTTTTTAAGTTTTAATTTATCTATTAAATATAGGCGTGGGACAGCATTTCCACAATATTTTTATACTTTCCTTCATCAATATATTGGGTCAGTTACCGATCCGCATAATCAATCTCATCAAAGGCGAATTATTTCCGCCACGAACAATACAGCCTTCTCTAATAAAAGATATGATTTAAATGAACCTAATAATACAATTGTAAATACTGATGCGGATGAAAAGATTGAGAGAATCTATCATGAATTTGATAAAATAGCATTTTTCCTTGGATTTTTTGGCGATAATTCCTCATCAGAATCCGAAGTTGTAGTTGTTCGAGGTCGTGGTGATAAATTTGGAGAAAGTTCTCGCCCAATTGAAAGTATGATTGATATATTACATGTTTGGATATTTAACAAGGACCTTTCTATGATAATTAGTATTAACCTTCTTAATCTTTTTTATTATTATTATGTATCAAGTTTCAACGCAAAACGTAACGGTATATATATGTTTTACTTATATAAGAATAAAAAAAAACATTTCAAATTGTCTACATTTTTTTCTTATTATTTTTTTTTTATATCCTCAGCCTCCTTTTTTAGTTCAACTTCATATACCAAATTATGATCCAACGACAGCTAGCAAAAAAAGAGAGAAACATGCTGGTACTCTTTTTATCATTATGATTTAAATTTATTAAGTTACAAATTAAACATGGAACTAATTTTAAATTTGATACGAAAGATGATGGGGCACTAATTTTCCTCTCTTTAATATGTGCTACTATTCGAAACACTGCATATCCATCCTCTAAACTTCATGCGCTGGATATGTTGCTCGCTATTGGTCAGCATTTGGAAGACGAATTCAAATTGGACAGATTAGTTCCTTATTTGATTGCTCTGTTAGGAGATGATGTCGGTCTTGTCCGTGCGAATGCCGTTAAAACCCTGACTCATTTGGTTTGTAATTTATGAAATTAAACTTTGCTTTTTTTTAAAAAAAAAAATAAATTTTGTTTTTTATGATTAAACAATACCTTTTTGTGAAAATAGCTATCGATGGTAGAGACGATCACACCTTCAAATGCAACAATTTTCCCAGAATATATAATGCCAAATTTACTAAAATTTGCTACTGATTCAGAAGTGCTCGTCAGAATGACATATGCTCAGTGCATAACTTCTTTGGCCGACACTGCTTTACGATTTCTAGATTTAACACAATTATTTAAGACAGAATCTTTAAACTCTACTGATAATGATACGGACATTGATAGTTCATATGAAGCGACATATGATGCAACCTTACATGAACTCCATTCTATAATACAAGATCAAGTTTCCACACTGTTAACAGATTCAGAAAGTGCGGTAAAACGTGCTTTATTATCCAATATTACTAGCCTATGTGTTTTCTTTGGTAGACAAAAAGCCAACGACGAATTATTAAGTCATATGATTACTTACCTAAATGACCGAGATTGGATGTTACGAAGGTTTTACTTTATTCCTTTACAAATCAATTTATTTTTAACCCATATTAATCTTGAATTTGCTGGAATCTAGTGCATTCTTTGAGAGTATCATTGGTGTTGGAACTTTCGTGGGAGGTCGTAGTTTAGAAGAATATATTTTACCTTTAATGATTCAATCTCTCTCAGGTATCATAAAATATTTTGCTATAATTGATATATATTAATTGTAAATTGGTGATATAATAGGAGTTAAAAAACATTATCTTCTTAGATTCTGAAGAATTTGTGGTAGAGAAGGTACTAAACTCTCTAACAAGCCTTGCGGAGCTTGGTTTATTTCAAAAAATGAAATTATGGGAGTTGTCTGCGATTGTTTCTTCTTTAATGTGTCATCCTGGTATATGGATTCGATATGGTAAATATTTTCAAGTTAAGCCTTGATCAGTAACTAAATATATTAATCAAAAAATTTTTTTGTTTTAAAATAAATTTTTAAGGTGCTATCGCATTTATAGCTTCAGCAGCTAAATTATTACCCGCGACTGATGTGTGGTGCATAGTTTATCCGATAATAAGACCATTCTTGCAAGCTGACATCTCTGAAATAACCGAACTTCAATTATTAGAGAATGTTAAAGAACCGGTATTTTCATAAATTTCATTTATTAACTTTAAATAGTCGAAAAATTTAAATTATATGTATATATAATATAGATTCCAAGATCTATTTTTGATGCAGCAGTTTCTTGGGCTAGTAAAGCTACTAAGTCGTCATTTTGGAAATCGGCTAAAGAAAGGAAAGCAAACAGAGTGGCTACAGCTACGTTATCAGGTAGTTCAAGTGTCACTAATTTATTATCAAGAAGAACATCTACTCTGGCAGTAAATACCGGAAAAGTTAGTAAATCAGAAGAGTAAGCATTGTTTATCCATCTATTAGTAAATTATACCTATTATCTTCTTTATTTATTGAATTTTTAACATCTATAATTATATAGGGATGAGAAATATTTGGAGAGAATGAGAAACATTGGAATGACCCCTGAAGATGAAGAAAAAATTTCTTCTATGAGAGACTATATATATAAATTATCTATATCTAAATCAAAGTTGGTATAAATTATTTCCTTTCTAGTGAAACAATTTTGTTGATTATAACTTTTTATTTTCTTTAGCGCTAGACCAAACGAAAATAGCAATTTAGAGGTAGACTTAATTGTACATTCCATCAATTCAAAAAAAAAAAAAAAAAAGTTATAAATATAACCTCTATTATTATAGGATGAAAATATTGTATTGAAAAATCTCGGAATAACTCCACACAATGTATTTGTTATGCCAACAACTGCTGATGGACATACATTTACTAATTCTCATATTCCAAATCTTAATAAAGCAGTAAGTGTTGTACCACCAAAATATTATTCTATACAGCTTTTATGCTCATATTTCATATATATATATATATATATATTTTTGCCCTTTTTAAAAGAATGTTGTAGGCACCCCTAGGTAAAATCATGGAATGTATTCTGTATTTATTGTTTATCAATATTAATTAAATTATTAATTATTAGCCTATACCGTCATAAAAGCGCACAGAATAGTAAAGGTTCCTTGCTTGAACCTTCAGGTACTCAAGTTCCTCGTATTTCGAGCGAAAGTAATCTTCAATTACTTTTACGACCAGAAGATCAATGTCGATTGATTTCTACAAGTTTAGGTCAAATGAGGAATAATAATAACCTTGGGCAAAAGTTTGCGATTAAAAACCAACCTACAACATCAATTGCTTCTGAACCTCCTTCTCCCACATTACATCATCATAAACATATTCCTCCACCTTTAACGGTAAATATAACGAATGCTAATCAATCAAATTCTGTAACAAGTGTTGCAACACCATTGCGGGATTGGCATTTGTCTTTTGTTGGAAAGCCTATTGAAAGTCCTAAAGCTGCAGCTGCTACTAGTACAAATACTACTACTGCAATTGCAACTTTGGAAATACCTTTTCCTTACACTAACAGGCAAGGACCGAATGGTACTTTCTTAAATTCGGTTATATCAGATAGCCTTCCAAGGAGAAATCTTGAAGCATTTATTTCCACCACTTATGGTTTGTTTTATATCCATTAATAATGTCTATTAATTATTATTAAGGAATATTTTTTAAAAAAAACCTAAATTTTTTTTGAAACCAAGAGGGTAACGATAGAAATGTAAAGAATCTATTAGATAATTTATATTTTGAGGCAAATCCTGAACCAATGCCAGGTAAGATAATCGTATTGATCCAAAAAAAAAAAAAAAAAAACGGAAGATTATATATGATTTATAATTTAAATCTATGTTGTTTCTTAGAATTTGGTCCAAAGGTGACAAAAATGTTAATTCCGCGTACTCGAGGATCAAGAACAGCAAATGTCAAATCGATCTCAAATTGGAGACCTGATGGTTAGTTTGTCGATCATTTCTAAAGATGATCAAATGGTATCTTAAACGACTTTTTTATATTAGGTACCCTGGTAGCACATATGACTGAACACAAAGGTGCAATCAACCAAATTTGCGTATCACCCGATCATAATTTCTTTGCATCATGTTCAGATGATGGTACAATCAAGATTTGGGATTGTTCTAGATTTGTGAAGAATTTCAATAATCGATCGAGAGTTACTTATAACCAAGGTAGATAATTTTTTTAACAATTAAAGATTGGTTAATGTTGAAAAATATTTATATAATATATTTTTTTTTTTGAATCTAAGGAGGGAAAATTAAATGCATGACATTCATCGATAGTACACACAGTATTGCTTCGGCATCCGATAACGGTAGTATTCATGTGTTCAGAATTGATTATACTCCGGGCACGAATTCACCTAAATATGGAAAGCCCGTTATGGTTAGAGAGACTTGTTTGGACGGAGAATATGCAGTAGCGATGGAACATTATGAAATTGGTATATTATTTGTTTTTATTTTTGGTTTTTAAATGTCCAAATTCTATTAGTTTAATCATATCCTACAATAGGCGTCGAGTCTATACTCTTATATGCCACATCCAAAGGAAATATATGCGGATTAGATTTGCGTACAATGCAAGTCGTATGGACCTTTAAAAATCCTAGAAGTCATGGGGTAATTACAGCAATTGTTACAGACAAGAAATACAGATGGCTTCTTATTGGAACGTCTCGGGGTATCTTTACATTGTGGGATCTTCGGTTCAGAATTCAATTGAAATCATGGGTTCATCCCACCAAAAGTCGAATCAGTAAACTTTTACTACATCCACAAGCTGGATCTAAACAAAGATGGTGGGTTATTGTTGCAGCAGGAAAGAATGAAGTATCTGTTTGGGACGTAGAAAAGGTTGAATGTAAAGAAGTTTTTGGTGTTCGAACCGGGAATGAAAAAACGGGTGGAGTTTCGTTGGACATGTTTAAAGTATGTGTATGTTGTTTTATTATTAAATTCATACCATCTTGTATTAATTACTTTTTCTTTTCATAAGGCTTCAGATCCTCCTGGACCGAGTGATATATTAAGGAGTGCTTTCACGGCCCATGAAGGCAGTTTTTCAGCAGACAATTCTATACGGGCAATGATTTATCCACCCGATTGTAATTATATGATTACGGCCGGATCCGATCGTAAAATTCGATTTTGGGATAATAATCGTATAGAAGAGTCATACATTGTTGTTGGGTCTGATATAGATGAACCTACCTCGTATAGGTAAAATTATAACCATTTTTTCATATCATATTTTTTTTTTATTATTAACAAAATTTTTTAATTTTCGTAGTACAAAGCAATTTGATGGAATAAACGTCCACTATGAAATTCATCGAGTCATGAACACTGCAACATCAAACTCGTCATTTACAAATTCCAATAATAGTAGTTCGGGAGGAAGTTATAGTGGTAGCAGCGGTAGCAGTAATAGTAAACGATCAAATAAAAATAATACCCATAGTGCAAGAAATCAACTAATTACAGTTCAACAACAACAATTACTTAAAAATCATTTAGATTGTATAACAGATTTAAAGGTTACAGAATTACCACATCCAATGTTAATAAGTGGTGATAGGGATGGAATAATCAAGGTATTTTTGTAATATAAAATTTATTTAGACCAAAGAGAGAGATTGTTTTTTTTAAAAAAAAAAAATTTAAATTATTCTGGTAAAAATAAATAATATATATATATATATATATTGAATCATGGCGTAAGACCATTGTACAAGTAGCGTGACCGTTGGGAGTAAAATAATTGGATGGATCCAAGATACCTTTATTGGTTAAATATGACCAATCTTCATAAATCCGACTTTATTTCAACTTTTTATATAACAAAATAAGATTGACCTTTTTTAAGTTATTTACGATTAAATAATCTTACTTCAAAAGAAATAAATGATAATTGGTAATTTTATGTGATTTGTGGGCTGAAACGATATTTTTTTAGTGGGGGGGATTAAAAAAATGTTTCGGATAAAGGAAAATCAATCAGGAATTTTTAGTTTGTGTTACATTTGATTTTCCGAAAAAAATCATTTAAGAGAATAGTTGAAATTTTTTTTAAATTGAAATTATTGAGAATTCATACATAGATTTTAATCTTGTATTTAATAAGCATGAAGTGTCGTAAATTATGTAAACATATTAAGACTTTTGAAAATAAGTGGTTAAATCATCCCGGAAATAAACCCTCTTGCGGAATTGAAATAAAATTTATGTAAATCATGAATAATTTTTTTTTATTTACATTCTGTTTAAATTTTGTTTCTTGGTTTTCTTCAAGGAGATCGAAAAATGATATAAAATCGATTGGAATTTTATCCTTTTCTTATTTTTTTTTTCTTTCTTCTTCATGATTAATAAATAAAGCCAACAAATGATATTTGAACTTTTTTGAGAATATATTTTTTGGCAAAAAATCATTAAAGATGGGACAAGGGATATCGAAATTAAAATTAAAAAGGAAAAAAAGTACATTGAGTCAACTTTCAACGAAATCTCGTCAAGGATCAGATACGGATTTTAGTCTTCCTATACATGAATGTACAAAAGCACGTTATGATAATGCTATAAGAGATTTATTTAAATCGGAATTTTCCGCTCCCGTTGAAGAAATACTAACATTGAATGGAAAGATAATGGAGATAGGGTAAATAAAAATCATAATTTCCTCCCTTTATTTCCTTTCATTTATTTATAATCTTTATTGGCAGGTATGGATCCTCATCATGGATAATTAACATGGTAATTTATATATACTTGTTTATTACTACTCTTTTTTTTTATAAATAAAAAAAAACCCCCCCCCCCCGATTTTATTTCTTTTCATTCGTGAAGGCCTACGAGTACCCGAATTCAGAATTCATTGGGCTGTATTTGAAACAAGATCCAATTATCTCTCAAAATATGCCCAAAAATTTAACGTTTATAAGGGATAATTTATGTTTATCTTATGATGATGATGAATTTGACTTTGTGAGAATTGGAGAACTAATATACAGATTATCAGAAGTCGAATTCGAAATCATTATCAATGAGATGGTCAGGTATTTAAAAATATCGATTAAATGATGGGCTATGAGACGTATTTAAGAAACCTAACCAATTTTGAATTAGAGTGACCAAACGGGGAGGTTGGATAGAAATCAGTGAACCTCGCTATTTTCCGCCAAAACATACAAAGCTTGAAATAATATGTAAATCTTGTAAGTAATAATAGTATTATTATAAAAGATCCTTAAACCAATTTAATTCACATTAAAATAATTCTTTATAAGTTACGGAAATTAATGAATTACAAGGAATCAACATGAATTTGTTTGATAAAATGCAATTTATGTTGCATTCAACGAATCAATTACAAGAAATTCAAGTTGATAATAAAGTACTAACTCTTGGGCCTAAAGGCGGCGAATTAGGAATTCGATTTGTTGAAATTTATATGACTTATTATAAAGAGATTTATGGTCAAGATATAGCCCTTCATCTAGGCATGCCTTATGAATATGAAGAATTTCAATCCTTTTTGAAAGATGTCGAAAAGGAATTTTACACCTTAAATGCTGAGATAAGATATTATAGGTTTTTTGGTCAGAAGAAATGAAATCATTTTTTTATGATTTTTTTTAGGAAAGATTTTTTAAGATTTATTTTTTTTTTTTTAAGATTTCATAAATAAACAAGTTTTCTAAATAACCAGTTTAAGTAATTGTACAACCAATGTGTTATTATTCGTGAAACGTCAGTATCTGTATAAAATCAGGCAAACAAATTTTTTTTCTCATAACCCACTCTAGAAATTTATACGATTGGTAAGTTAAATTATATATTTATTTTTTGTGACAAATTATCTGTTTATAGTCCAAATGAGTTTTGGTAGATTTTCGATCTTTTACTTAAAAAATTTCCTTGACGATATTATTAATTCTTTTTATGTTTTCAGTCACAATGTCGCTTCTAACTCAACTTTCTCATACCGCATTTCGATCTATTCGACTTTCGTCAAAATTACCACTACCTTCGTCAATATTGCTTAATTCGTTTAATTATACTCGTGGAATGAAAGTCAGGTCTTCGGTAAAAAGATTTTGTGATGGTTGTTTTACCGTGAAAAGACGTGGTAGAATTTTTGTACTTTGTAAAAAGAATAAGAAACATAAGCAAAGACAAGGATGAACGATATGTTGAAAATTTGAAATTTTTGAAATTTTAAATAAAAATAATTTATCAAGTAATTCTTATGCATAATGAATTAATGAAATCACTTGTGATTGATAGTAATTGCGTATTTTTGGTGTAAGTATTGGAATGCAAATTCTATTTGTTCTCAAGGCGAGCTTTCGATTTTTTTTGGGAAAACTTTTCCTTAAAGAAAGATAGATGTCTTGAAATTTTTTCTTTCATGACCTGTCAAGTAAATGATAAAAATCCAGGATCGATTTTTGTTTTATTTATGACGATACTCGGAATTTACGTGGCAAAATGTACGTGATGTTTGAAGCATTTTTCTTGTCCAAGAATTATTCTTGAGCTCGTTCTTTAACAAAACTTTTGAGTGCTTCGTGAATTTTTTTTTATCTTATTCTTTATGTTACTTTTTTCCTTTTTTTCTTATAAAAAAAAAAAGGAATTTACACTTAATACCAATAAAATTTAAATCCGTGGTCAACGTAATCACTGCGGACTCTCGGAACCGACGTTTCTCCGAATTGGATTTTTATTTATATTTTGTTTGGAAACAAATTTAAAAAAAAATATCATTTATTATTCGAGAGAAATTGACAAACATTTAATAAACGATTAAAGTTATGTACACTGCTGCGCCAAATTAAAATATTGGTTAAACAAAAACAAAAAGGTGATTGTAAAAACGAACTTTCCTTAAAGAAAAACATTATAGGAAAATTATATATGAATAAATAAAATAAAATAAAATGTATATATATATATATATATTATATGAATAATTAATTAACTCTCAACATTATTTAGGTCTTTTTTTATTAATTTAAATACTTCGTAATCTTCTATAGCGAAATTTGTGGTCGTGGTTATGGATTTTTCGTAACATCTTTGAATACAACTCCAAGGGAGATCATAAATAAATTTTCCATTTGCATGTCTCGAAGATTCTACCATAACCAAATCGGAAACCCCGAAACAGGGTCCAATGCAAGGTGAATCATCTATAGCAACATTGTAATTTTTGATACGACTTAAAATTGCTTGCGAGTGGGCGGGGTCCTTTCCATCACCTAAAGAGAATATAAAACTTTCCGTGCATTCAATCCAATCACCTGTTGAATTCCAACCAATTGGATTGTATCCACCAAGTAATTCTCCTGTGCCTTTAACTTTTAATATAATAAGAGCAGGTCCTTGATTATCACAAAGTCTATGAAATGTTGTGCATTTAAAATTGTCTCGGGACCCTCTTAATAAAAGATTAAAATGACGAGGAACTAAATGACATGTTAACGGATCAAAATTTTTTTGGTGATCTATCCAGCTGGCGATTAGAGCGGCATGTCTTGATCCAATTAATTTGGAATCGAGCGCTATCCCACGAGGCGGTATAATATCTGTTGAAATGGGTGGTTTGTCCATTTTAAATTGATAACGTAAAAGGTTTTCATATAAATCTTTTGGAAGTAATGCTTCGTAAGGTCTCACGTGATTATAAAAATCTGCTCCGGAGATATGATAAAACCTTATGAATTGTATACAATCCTTTAATTTTAAAGCTAATCTAGAAAAATCTTCTAGATCCCATTCTTTAGGATAAAAGGATAACTCAATTTGGGATATGCCCCATTTAAGTAATAATATCCAAACATCAATTTCTTCAAGATGAAGATCATCTCTCTTCAATATCCCAATAACTAATTTCTCTGGCCATTCCATAAATCTTCCATGTTTACGAAATTTTTGTGGATCATTTGAAACCATTTTGATACAGCTCTCTTGAAGTTTGTGAAAATTCTCGTGTTGAAATATAGTATGACAATATTCATTAATATTTTCCAATAACCAATCATTTCCTTTTGTAATGAAATAATCCTGAACGTATTCCAAAAGTTCGCTCAAGCAAAGCTCATCGGCAGCTACCAGAAGTTCCAAGGTTTTCTCTCCATCAAAATTTTTCCACGAGACAGTACCGCTATATATATAACTAGGGGAAGGGAAAAAAAAAACAGTTGGGAATTAAAATTATTAGAATTTGAACATTTTGAAAATAATTCTTTTTTGTAAAAAAAAATAAAGTAAAAATATCTATATATGTGTATGTATATAAAGCTTTTATTACTTTAATATTGTTTCAAAACTTTCAGGAGTAATATTCGGTTTTGTAAAAATATAAGTGTTGTCTTCGATTATAGCCCATTCGCTTGATAAAGCATTTCGAAAATAAGTAGACCGTGTGCGGAGAACGACGGAATGCGCCTTAAATGTTTGAACCTTGGGCATCTCGCCAACTCTTATCGATACATTATAATCATCGGTATTTTCAAGCAGCCTCTTGAAATCATTTGATAATGTTACAAAGAGTTCTGTCGACATATTAAAGTAAATAAAATGGAATGAGGAAGTAAAAAAAAAAAAAAGGAGACGAGCTGATGGGGATTCTTGAGGATTAAGGAACCTTATGAAATTTTATAAAAGACAGGATTGTTTCAAAATCTGTCAAAATTAGGATTAAATTTTCGGTGCGGAAAATTTCCATATATATGCTAGGGAAGACTGATAAGATTTTCACGATATATGCATGATTTCTAAAGGGATTTCTATTATTGGATGATGATTGACAAAGATGATTGTGTTTTTATTTCGATTACCAATATATGATTTAATATTAACTTTTTCTCGATGAAAAAATTATTAATTAATAAAGTTGAGATGGTTTTTTCTTACATACGCCCAAACTCAACCTCTCAACGAATGGAGCAAGCATATCAGTTTGTAATCGATAAACGCGTCAGGCCAAAAAAAGTTCAGATACATGCACTTATCTGTATTGTTTTTCTGCAAGTTTGTTTTATTTTCTAATCAACATTATCCTTTTTTTCCCTTTTATATGATAGAATAAAGTTGAAGAGAAAGAATACCGCATATTCATTTATAATTGAGTGCTAATCAAAAATTGGTAATGAAAAAAATAAATGATTAGATATAAAAAAAGGTTGCGTAAGGGTAAATTTGAAGTGTAAGGTTTAGCTTGCTGATAATAGGAATCATTATAATGGTAACCTTTTTTAGGATCCCTTATTTAGAACAAATTAAGTAAATTTTCATCAATCATGTCTGACATTTGTTTCTTTATACCAAAAGAATAATTGTACATCAATAACCTTGTACCGGGATTCCCGAATTCTTTTTTAAAAAATTTGATTTAGTCATATATGTTCTCGGTTGTTTTTTACCGATTTACCGATACAAAATATTTTGGGAACATTACTCGAATATGATGATTGGAGCCGGATATCAGACCAAATTAGGATTACCTTGTGATATTGTGCCAGTGCTCTTTACGACGAATTTCTATTGTAATGAACATTTTAGGTAAAGTATTTTAACTTAAAAAGATGATTCGATTCCGTAATTATGATAAAATTGTTCAACAAATAAAAAAAAATCCGTATTTGGCTTTCAAAAATGAATCTACATTTCTGAAATTTGAAAATAAAACTAGATCTCGTGATTTGATCTGTTTTCTATTAAATTAAAATAAACATGTAATGAATTTTTGTAGCTATTGCTTCATATCAATGCCTAAAAGGCGATTTAATGATAAAGTTGATTAATTTGAACCAATGAAATTTTCGGCTTGAATTCTTTCTGGCTTAAATTTTCCAATCTTTAGACTTTCCGAAAAAGCCGGAAAATTCAATGTGCATTAAATTAAGAACCAATACAAAAGTTTAATCGTAGAAAACGGAAGTACAGATAGATATTCAACTTATTTCTAATAAATAAATTTACATAAAAAAAGACTTTTATAAAGTTTTTAACGAACAATAAGTTCATGAACATGTGAAAAATATGCAAATTACCACCTTTAGTTATCAAATGAATTGGCCAGAAATTTTTTTTGATTTTTTAAAATAGATGTATGAAATATCAAATTTTAATTAATTCTAATCCATCTATTAAACAAACTGCTTTGAATTCCAACTTTAGAAATTTCCGGTCATTAAAATTGATAGGTGAACTAAAGTGAAATCAGATGTTTATTTTCAAAAGGTTCAAACAAAGCTTCGATAATATACATTATTCGCATTTAATCAAATTATCTTTTATTTTGTAAATACATATTTACTGAATCGAAGTTATGTATTTCAATTTTATTCTTGAAGTTCAAAAGATCGTCGCGGTTACAAACCCATTAAACATACTGTACATGCATTTAATTAAGAAAAACAATTTGGTAGTAATTTTTGGAAACCATTGGTAGAAGCATTTGGTAGTATATTGGGATTGAAATAGTTACTTATATGGAGAGAATAATCGTAATTAATTTTATCCGGCATTACCATAATTACATTGGCATAATGCTATAATTCAAAAACATTAATTTTGGCCGAAATTATAAATAAAAATTTTGTTTAAAATTTAAATGAAACACCGTTTTATGATTAAAGTCCTAATTGGTTACAAAAGATTTAAAATAATTTAGGATCTGTTTCTAAAACCTAGTTTAAATCTAATGTTTTAAGAATATTAAATTTTTTAAAAGAATTTAAACTTATTTTAATAAGTAATTATTATAAATAATCCTTTATAATAATTCTTTAAAATATCTATATATATAATTTAAGTTATTATTTCACTTTTTAATATTGATAATTTAAATTAAAGATAAACATAAGTATAAATTTTGTTACAATCATATTATTACAGATTATTTTAGTATATAAAATATGATATATTTAAATATTTATTCTTTATAATAGATTAAGTTCAATAACTTTTACACATATTTTTGTTTAAAAGTTTTACCCATACTAAAAGAAAAAGAACTTACATCTTTTGAATTCAAGTTATTAAAATATGAATAATAAAAAATCAGTTTATATTTAAAAAATAGTTTATAACAAATTAAATGTTAAATAAAAAATATATTTTTTTTTGTTGAAAAATAATTTTGGATGAAAATTATATATTATAATTAATTATTATCTATAATAGATTATAATTTAAATATCTTATAACTAATTTTTAGTTTATATTAAAATCAGTTATTAAAAATATAAATTAATTATTATATAATCTTTATAAAAATTTAAGAAAAAATATTATAGCAATTTTATAATAATATTTAACATATAAAAATTTTTAAAACTATTTAAATTTCAATATATTTAAAAAAATATATAAGATAAAAACTTAATATAAAAATTAAATAAGGTAATTTTATTTAAAAATTACTTTTAAAAATAATTTTATATTTATATAATAAGTACTCGGATGAAAATTGATTCATTTTTTTTTGTCTTATTTCTCATATTTATTCGAAAAAAATGAATATATCAATGATTTCTTAATATTATTATTAACTAACAGATGTTATATATAGCTGAAGCAAATAACAGATTTTGCGCAGTAACTAATCATTTATGACGCAGTGTATTTTTTCATTAGCAATACAAAACACACCCATATTTATATGTGAAACTTTATAAAACTTTATTATTATAGATGCGAAATTATAAATACATATAAATGCTAAACTACACAGTCTAGAGATAAGTCACATGACCAAAATGGTTCTGCAGTCTTTGAAATAGCATTTGCACTATATGAAATAACCCGTTTAATCTTATCTACTCCAATCTTCCGGAATAACTTAAAAATCTTCACGATCCTTTGAGTTTTTCCCTTTGAGTTTTTTTACGCAAAGTATCCTTAGTAAACCCGCCTGGAAGATGCTCCATTGTATCATCATACACTTGATTTGATCACTACTAACTCCTTTCTAAGCATTCTTAATCTCCTCAACCCTCTTTTCATACGCCTTCCCATAGTAATACTAACATAAAATTTATTCTTGGATTGCTTTCGTAGCATGCGTCTCCATTCTACAAGCTTTCTGGAAGAGGCGGTCTAAAGTCTTTGGCATTGAAGCTTCTGAACCACTTCATTATTCTCAATAGATTCCCCCTAACAGGTATAGATAATTCTTGCAATAAGCCCTGCAAGATATTGTGCTCACGGTTATTATTTCCAGAGGTAACTGATTGTCTTGATAAATGCCTTGACGATGGCCGAGTTTGAGTAGTGTTATTCCCATAATTCGTAGCTGAATCCTGAAAATCATTTCCACTAAGGTTTGATTATTGAAAAATAGTAATGAACCCAAAAGGACCTGTTATGCTTGATTAAGGTGTCGCTCGGCTTTAAGAAGATTCTTAGCAATGCTAATACAGTGAGACCTCTCTAAATGCACCCCCTTGGGACCATAGTGAAAATTTGAAAAAATGTGCATTTAAAGGGGGTGTGCATTTAAAGAGAGAAATTTTGTATGATCTTTATATACTTGGGGCTGTGTGGAATGTGCATTTATAGAAAAAATATATATGCGTGCATTTAGTGAGAGTGCATTTAGAGAGGTCTCACTGTAGTATTGTCAATCATCATCATCCGGATAATGATATAGTTTAATTATTTGTATACGAAATTCTGACTTTAAGTTATCAGTGCAATTTGAAATTAGGTTAACAATCTTTTCAATATCAACGTAAGTTGAAATGTCATCAGTTGAATTTTGTTGATCTTTTTTCGCTTGATCATTACTGAGTTTCACCTGATCATTGCCAAGTTTCGCAAGTTTTTTCGCAAATTTGTCTTGTTTCGCTCGTATCTTTGCACGTTTGTCTACTCTTTTGATGTTTCTTGTATACAGCTAAAAAAAAATGGAGAGGTGTAAGTCAGCAGTTCATAAAATATGACCAAAAAAAGTTTGCACCAAGTACTCTCAACAATCTAAAGACAGAACTAAACCACCACAGCGATTTTTAAGCTTCTATCACTAGCAAATAAAAGAATTATTTCAGTTGTTTGACCACTTAAGGAAGGTACATAGCAGGTGAACCCGCAGACCTTAAATGGGAAAAATACAAACAAAGGAGTACCCTTTTATGGATTGTACTTTGCTTGACTCGCAACCTCAATACCTACCTTCCAATTGTTTAATATTTCGGTGGCTTTTTTATGCAATGAGGGATCATAAATTTTTTCTTCATTGAATACTTTTAAATCGTTTTTAATTTCACTTAAGATTTCTCTCAAGTCTTTGTCTTTGTGTCTAGGGTCGTTTTTATAATAAGCACAGACTTTGTTGCAAGTCCAGCTTTCAGTCGGCATATCGCGAAAATATTCCATGAGTGAGAATTGGGAAATACTGTATATTACATGTATACTATTTATAATCACTGATCGTTTGTTATGTCGTACAGGACTCACATAGGAGTCATGGCGTCACTGATATTAAATTATAAATCATACTATTTGTTTGATTTGTTGTTGCGTAATTAATCATTGTTGTGCGCAATGGCACTAATATCAATAATACTTATTTTAACATGTATATTAAAAATTAGAACCTTTTTTAAAAATCAATAACTTTTTCTTGAGTTTAAGAAATCCTATTAGAAGTTTAAGTAAAAATATTTATTATAAACAATTAGTTTATTTTCAAATATCTTGAATTGCTTAAAATAATTTAAGGAGATATCTTTAATATCAAGTATTATGAGCTAAATTATTCTTTTTAAAGAACTTTTAAAGCTCAAATCTAAATAAAACTTTGTGGTAATTATCTCTTTCTCAAGAATATCATCGTCTTGAAATCGCCTGACCAGAGGATTATGGTTCTAAAATATAGAACAAAGTAATTAAAATGTCTCGCATAATATAGGCCTAAATATATATATTTATGCCGACTACCCGATTTGTTGAAACCATTGGAGTTTATAATTGAAGAATTTAAGTAATTTTTTTTCTGGATAATACTTAAAAAGTTTAAAAATATAATCTTTTTAAACTTGCTGAATGCTAAAACATTTACCGTCTTAAAATATTAGATCAAATACTTTTTCCAAAAAAAATAACCACTCATCCATCATTAATTTCACTTCGTACAATGGGGTTTACTACAAAATTTCATCAAGTTGGCAATAACATATTGGTTTTAAAAATGTTGTTGAAATAAATATTAAATAATCTTTATAAAGGATTTAGCAAAATAGTAAAATGTGAACGAGCGCGTTACATTAAGTATAAAGTTATATCTTTCTTAAAAAAGTTTAATCATCACTATTTCGGGATTACAATCGGTAGAACTTGACTGAGTAGTATGATAATACAAATCAAAAATGTCAAAACTTTTGTTAGACTTTCTTGGGTTACAACCTAATAGGATTCAAATGATATCGCATTGATTACAAAATTAGTAAACCAATTTCAAAGCAATATGCATTGCCCACATAATCTAGACACATTCGTAGAACCAGTAAAAACAATGAATACTAAATTTGGAAAACGTCGATTAAAATTAATTATATAAAGACTTTCATGAAACTTGCACTTTTGTAATTTTAATATATTTTTCATATTAATTATTAAACGAAAAAAATAAAAAAATGGCAACTTATTTTGATAACCTTCAAAGAAAATATTCCGATGTTCCTATTACGAATGATGGTATTGAAACTTTACCTTTTCTTGAAGCCACCGAAGGAGTTGTGAAATTATTTGGTAACATTTTATAATAAAATTCATAAATTTGAACAATTTTTATTCTGGATGATACTTAAAATTCAAACATATAACCTTTATAGACTTGCTGAATTCTAAAGCATTTACCGTCGTGCAAAATGATATGAATGGAAATATTTTGGTGCGTTTAAAATCTTTAAGTCTATTTTTTTTCCTAAACATATTAACCAAACACCTATCATCTTAATAGAAAATTAGAAACCGTTACAACACTGATCCAAAAAAAAACAACACTCTTGAGAAACTCGTGATTAACGAAAAAGATGAAAAGAAACGTACTGCCACTGAAGGATTATTGTGGTTGAAAAGGTTAGTAGTAGTTAGTATCTTTTAAAATTCTTGTAAAATTTGACTCGAAATTTTCTCATGGATCTGAATAATACAGGGGATTGGAATTTACTTCAGTAGCGTTACGTCGATCTATAGAAAGTTCTAAAAGCGCCAATGGGGCTGAGGAGCTTTCGGTTTCCTTTACTAAAGCTTATGAGGACACTTTGAAAAAATTTCATGGAATGCTTGTCAGACCCGTATTCAAAGTATGTTCTATCAATTCTTATATTGATTTATTCATTCTTTTTGTTTTTTTTCCTTTATCTAAAAAAAAATTCTTTTTTGGGATTGATCAAGTTGGCAATGTCATGTTGTCCTTACCGTAAAGAGTTTTTTGAAAAATTAGGGGAAGATCAAGAAAAAGTTAATCGACAATTTGAAGAGTGGTTGATTAGTTTTGAAAAGGTTATTGAAATATTAAATAACTTTTATAAAGATGGTGGTCATGATAAAGGATTTTAGATTCTGATCTTTTATTTTATTAATATATTATTATAATTTGTGAAATATATAATTGCAATCAATTAGAAAGATTATGAGAGAAATAATTTTTGTTTTTTGTTTTTTTGTTTCAATTACAAATAAAGCAAATAATAAATGAATAAATTCAGCTTTTGTTTTCAGCTTCACCAGGTTTTTTTGAATTGCATGCAACAATCTTGATTTTATCAACAAGAACACTAGGTTCACTACTGTCTAATTTGAAATTAGGATTCTTAATAATAAATGTCCAAACTTCGTCACAAAATCGGTAGGTATGAAGATGCCCAGCCTGTTTTGTCAGGGGAGTTAGTACAAATGAGAATATAATTTATTTAGTTTGCACTAGAGTGCTTACCTTAAAGGTTGCCTTGCTGCGAACTTTATTATCAAGGGCTTCTGTTATGCTTTTATCAAACTTTGTAAGGAAAAAAATTTTTTCAAAAGATCGTTACAATTAATTCATTTAAATGACTTGTAAGAATTATTATTAATTAAGACATACTTGTACGAGAACCTTCATCGCCAGTTGTGGAGTAATTTTTTCCATTTGAATCAACTCGTCAAGAGAATCGGTCAAGGCAATACCGATACTTTAAAACAAATAATTGTCAATAAAGCGAGTTTATGCATGTTTTTGACATAAATAAACTAAGAGATCGATTAGAAACTTCAAACAAATATATCAAATACAAAAAAAAAACCTGTTTTATATAAAAAAAAGCGAAAGGATTTTAATTAAACCTTTTCTACTACAAAGTTTGTAATACAAACCTGCTTCTGCGATAAAGTTCATAATAGTGAGTCATCGTGGTAAGGGTTGTTTATTGGTGGAAAAGGGCTTTATATATACGTTTTGAATAGCAGAGGAATTAGAGAAACAGCGAGTTGGTGACAATTTTTTTTACCTTTATAAAGGGGAATGAAACCACGAATCATATTTTGGGGTGACAATGTTGTATCAAATGCAGATGACCACGTGAATTCACGTAAAAAACCTGGTTGATGATTAATTACAACTTTTCAGCAAATTTTATTATTTCTTCAATATGAATCTTTTCAAATTTGATGTTATTTTTTCCTTCTTCCATCACATTATAAGAAATACAAACACAATGTAACTCATCAAGATAAGATTCTTCAAATTTCCATTCAGGTTGAAATTTATTTTCAATAAATAATTTTGTTTTCGATTTTGTTAACTAGAAGACGTAAAAAAAATTGTGTTAAATTACCATTTTTAAGATCAATTATAGTTGGATAATAACATATCACAAAACCTGAGTATTCCCTGTCAAATTTGGGGTTTCATTAGACAAACGAAACTCGATAGATTTCAAATCTAAAGTTAACCCTAATCCAACAGCCTTGACATAACTTTCTTTTAGACACCAGTACTGATAAAATTGATGTAATTGTTGGAATCGTGTATGATTTGGATTTTTTATCGCGTTCCATTCATAATCTGAAAACTATCATCGTGACAAAATCAATAAATTTTTTATTTTTACAAGCATAATGTTTTCACAGAATTTGGAAATACCTGTTCTTTAAGAGTTTCAAAGAATTCGTCAATAGTTTGATTAAAAGGTAATTCAACTTTCATCAAATCGACACCGATCAAAGAGTTTTCGCCAGCAACCAACACAACCCAATCTCCGTGATGTGATATATTGAAATTGATTACAAGATCAAAATCGGGTTTTACCTTTTTTTTAAAAAAAAAAAAAAGAGGAACAGAGATTTATACCTTATTTTTTTTTTTTTTTTAAATTCTATTTTTTTTAAAAAACAAAAAATTCACCCACCAAAATCGGTTTATTCTCTGTAGTTCTAGAGAATTTTATTGATTTCCAATTTGACTTATATAATTTACAAAATAATAACCTCATTAAACATCTACCAATCAATGCAAGTTTTGCGTCTTCAATAGAATAGAACCTATTTATTCGAGATTTTTCTTCTGGCTGAACAAATGACAGAATTTGTTGATATTGCTTTAGATAAATTACACAAAATGATTAATCGTTGAATCAATGTTTCTAAGGATTAATGGACCAATTGAAATAATTACTTCATCAGACGGATTCCACTCATTAACATTGAATGCCCATCGAGTCGTTATCTTTGTTGACATTTTATTTAAAGTGTATGATTATTATTATTAATAAAAAAAAGATTGAAAGATAATCCTAAGTTCAAGATACAAGACCTTGAAAACATTTTAAGGAAAAGAAAATGACTTCCTTGAGAATTTATTCGTCAAATGTATTTATAATTAGAAATGTTCTGTTGCACGATTGATCATTTGCATTGCATTTTATGGTAACATCATTTATCACAAATGTGATAATCTTGTTTATTTTTTTTATAACCAAAGAATACGATTCCAAAATGAAAAAATATTTCAAGTTTTAAAAATAGAATATATGGGGGAATTCAATTTCTGACAACCATCTAATTCCACCAATTCAATTATAAAAATGTATTCCAAAATATTACCGCCAAATTTCTTAACGAGTTCTCCGGCCGCACTTGCTGTACCTCCTGAGAAACAATAAAAATACTTGTCATAAAACTTTATTCAATTAAATGAATTGTTCAAAGTAACGTACCTGTTGCTATGAGATCATCTACAATAATAACATTTTGATTTTGCTTTATTGCATTTTCTTGCATCTCAAAAACGTCCTATTAAATTATTAAAACAATTTTAGTGAACTAGAAAATTCAATGAGGAATGATTTGAAATCATAAGATGCGTACCACCCCGTATTCCTTTTTATATTCAGCTG